TCACCAGAAGCAGTTGCCAAAGATTCCTCAAATCCCTACCTCTGTTCCAGGATACTCTTCTTTCTGTGCTTAGATCTCTTCCACATGATGTTCACTAATGTATTATTAACTTGCCAAGGCTCACTCACACATGGAATAGAAACAATGATGCCATGCCCAGTCTTTGGGCCATGCCTTCCCAAAGCTGTGTTTTGTGTCCAAATGGATCCAACATGGATGTTCATTGACCAACCATTCACGTGGCTGTGCCTGGTATGATCAGACCTACTTGTACTTCCCCCAAACTACATGTGAAATAGGGCACAGACACGACAAAAGCACATAGAAGTGTTGATGCTGAAGGGAAAAGAATTACCTGAACATGTTGGCAAGATGTATCACACTCTGAGGATCCCACCTGGTACAACAAAACTATGTCAGAAAATGGAGAGCAAGCAGAATTACCACTTAGCCCTTCCCTCCTCATACACAATTACTCAATGTCACCATTTCCTGTTATTTTCTTGTATTAAGATTAGAAGCCAGGTTTCCACCAGAAATCACCACCACCACCCAGACTGGTAATGGTTCTCAGCTGCTCCAGCCCCCACAATAACAAATACCAAGAGAGAAATGAAAACAAGCACTTTCCAAGACCAGTTCATGCAACACTATTACAAGATCTGGGAGCAGGGTGTTCCCTTGCTATCCCAGACAGAGAAGACACTGTCAGGGAGGGCACAGATTCAAGGATGATAGAACAGGACACAGGTGGTGACATCCAGCTCATGATGATGCCTTTTTCAAAGCACAACATGAAGCTGTTTTGCCATGTAACTAAGAGCTAGCAGGGATGTACGTACTTGCTGGAGCAGAGAGTATTTATCAGCTGTTTCTTAAACTCTTCGCCATTCAGTTCACCTGAAAAAGCAAAAGTCTTTGAGGAGCTGATTCCAGAGGAAGGGAGGACAGGCTGTAAAGAAGGAACTGAGAGGGATTACCTTTCCCATAAGCCAGACTCTCCTTTGAACTGGCCAGTGCAGTGAGAACAGTGGAAAACAACTCCAAGGATTTCCCATTAGACAGGTTGCCACCTTTGATAACATCCACAAACAGGGTGGCAAGTTCAGCCAAGGCAGGGCCTGGCAGCTGGCGAGCCTGGGAGAACATACAACGTTTGAAAAGCCTGAGGCACTGCACAGAAGTCCACATATACATCCAAACCATCACCAAAACTCAGCAAACAACAACATTCCTACTGGGAAATGTTCCCCTAAAAGCAGAATTTGGCCCTGAGATCTCTATTTTGTATAGAATAGAGCAGTGTATCAAGATGACATACTTATAGGTTTGGAGTTTCAAGTCTAAATTAAAGATAATCACATTTACATACACAGTAAATTCCAACACCAGCTAACTTAGTCCAGGGTGGATCCACGGAAAGGACACAACTCATCTTCCTCAGTGGCTGAGTGAAGTATCTCAGTCGACACACAAAGTGATACCCAGGAAACCCAAAGGAATATCTACCTCCAGCATGAGCAGTCCTATGATTTCAGACACTTTGGCCAGATGCAGGTCTCCTGACTCCACCAGCGGGATGCAGTGCTTGTAAACCTGAAGCCTCCTGAGAACACCACTCTGCTGGGAACAGGGGGAGCCTTAAAAGGAGGAAATAAAGAAAACAAAGAATGGACAAAAAGTTATGGAAGTAACAACATGTTGCTAACCAACAGGAAATTAGCAGGGCTGAACTATCACCTGACTGCAACTCCCTGCTTTATCTATCTGACACAACAGATAAATAAAACAGAGGACAGGAAATGAGAATCTCTTGGATAAAGCAGCTGAAGCACTGAACTCTGCTATCACACCCTGTGCTTCACTCAACCTACTGCCAGAGATCAGGAAGTGTCAAAACGCTGAGAAGAATCAGGTTGGCAATTAAGTCTCAGCTGGCTCAGCTCTACTCTAAGGTGCCTGTGTTGTCCTAAAAGTGGATTTGTGCCCAGTGTGTAACAAATCCACACACTCAGGAGATGTGTTGAGCCAGGCCTGGGCGGGCTGTTACACAAGTCATGCACATCAAGTTTCAGGGCTCTTTTATACACAAAAATCAGAGATTTCATACTGACTGGTTATTAGTTAACATATGACGACATATTCATTCATATAACTGCATGCTCAGAGGAAGGGTCTTCACCTGGGTCAAGGTCTTTTTGATCTGTGGGTGTGACTACTAGTATAATAATAAAGGCAGCTCACTTCAGAATGAATCAAACTTCAGTTTGACTGCCAAGTTGGTTAATTGGACAGTCACTTTGCCAAGCTGGAAATAACATCCTCAATCCCAGATGTTCTCCTTTGATGTTTTAAACAGAACCAGGTCTTGGTTTTACTCATTAAGTCCTTATTGCTAATGAACATGTTCTTGACACAGGTTCAAGACCCTAATATGTACAGTAACTATGACTACCAACAGCCAATGTAAAATGTATCACCTAAGGGCGGGCAAAAGTAAAGCCCACTCACAACAGGCTCATTAAACATGTGTCAGTCCAGTCTCCTATCTCCCTGTACCTATTTTTGGGTATCACGTTTCCCTGGGCAGCCCTGACCAGCTGATTTTTGTAGAATCACAGGATGGGTTGGAAGGGACCTTAAGCTCATCCAGTTCCAACCCCTGCCATGGGCAGGGACACCTTCCACTAAAGCAGATTGCTCCAAGCCCCTGTGTCCAACCTGGCCGTGAACACTGCCAGGGATGGGGCAGCCACAGCTTCTCTGGGCACGCTGTGCCAGTGCCTCAGCACCCTCACAGTAAAGAACTTGTTCCTTATATCTAACCTAAATCTCCCCTGTTTAAAGTTGAACCCATCACTCCTTGTCCTATCACTACAGTCCCTAATGAAGAGTCCTTCTCCAGCATCCCTATAGGCCCCCTTCAGTTACTGGAAGGCTGCTAGGAGGTCTCCATGGAGCTGAACAGCCCCAACTTCCTCAGCCTGTCTTCATACGGGAGCTGCTCCAGTCCCCTGATCATCCTCACGGGCTCCCCTGGACCTGCTCCAACAGCTCCATGTCCTTATGTTTGTTTCCACCAGAAGTGACACGTCCTGGTGCCCATGACCACTTCCCCTCACCCCCACCCAGCGCACCTCAGTGCTCACCCACCTTTGAAGATGCCTCTTAGCAAAGCTGCCGTCTCCCTGCCGCTCAGGGCCTGCCTTGTCACCATATCGCCCAGCTGCAAGGGAAGGGGACGCCGTGAGCTGCGCTGCACCCCCCCCCCGCCCGCCCCGCACACCGGGCCCGGCCACCGGGTACCCGCGCACCTCGCTCTCCCCCAGGCTCTGCAGGGCCTCCTGGAGCCGCTCGGGAGCCTCCTGGGCCGCCAGCGCCAGGATACGCTGAGCCATGGTGCCGGGACACGGGCACAGCGCCCCGGAGCTCGGCCCCGCCGCCGCGAAATTCCCGCCCGGAAGAGCCCGCCCGTCACCCGGGCAACAGTCCCGCCCGCAGCGCTCACTTCCCGTCCCCGCCAGCGGCTGAGCCCGCCCGCCCCGGCAGCACGGGAGGCCGCGGGTTCGAGTCCCGCGCGGTGCGGGCGCAAGGCGGGTACCGGGGCACTCAGCATACAGTGCCCATTAGCAAACGTGATCAGTTTGCTCGATCACCGCGTTCAGAGTTGAAAGCAGGCACTGTCATGTTAATGTCACCCCAAAACTGGGCTGAAACGTCGGTTCTACGACTCTATGATCTTCAGTAGCGTCATCTCTTCAGACTTCTCTGATGAAGCAGGCTTGTCTGTCTTATGGAGACAGGGCAAGAGCTGGGCTTATTCAGCCTGGAGAAAAGAAAGTTCCCAGGAGACCTTAGAGCAGCTCCCAGTGTCCAAAGGGGAGCTACAAGAAATCTGGAGATCCCTATTAACGTTCAAGGCCAGGTTGGACGGGGCTTGAAGGAACCTGCTCTAGTGGAACGTGTCAAGGGGCTTGGGGTGAGGTGAGCTGCAAGGTCCCTTCCAACCCAGCCCATTCTATGATTCAGGGCCACCCGCAGCACAGCAGCACCCAGCACCTTCGAGAGCCACTCGCATGTTAATTCCAGGGGGATGAGGGGTGGCCTTGGGCACACGAGGAGGTTTAGCCCGTGTTTAAGCAGCTTGATTTATCCAGGGGATCCGGTGCCAGCACAGCGTGGAAGCTTTTGCAAGCCCTGTGCTCACGGGGAGCGGGTTCACCCAGGGCCAAGGGCCATGGGGAGAGGGATAACTGGACCTGGCCAAGAGATGTCCTAAGGGCTATAGCCACAATACTTGGGGATGGGTTGTCCTTGGGGCTGCCAACCATCCCAAGACTCCTTTTCGCAGGACAAAGCACCGTGATGCCAGGGGCTACACATGAGTCTGCAGAAGTATTCCATCTGTGATGAGCGTGATGGCCAGGATGTCCCTGTGGTCCCCTCTGCCGTCCCCATGCAGGGCTATTGGGGTTATTCAGGATGATATTCCCCCATCACACACCATCTTGCTCTGCAGACAAAGGTACTAGCTTTAGGAGGAAGCAGAGCCTTACACTAGGTCTGGCATAGGAAGGGACAAGGAGGTTGGGGGTCTCAGTGTGCGATGCCTCTGGCCATGGTAGCATTGCCTGGGGTCTTGGCACAGTCTGAGTTTTCCCTCCCCGCTCCCCATTGCCCTTCATCAGGAGTCTCGTGCCTTCCTCCTCCTCCCTCGCAGTGGGGTCTCAGCTCTGTTTGCAGGGCAGCCCCGTGGAAACCAAATCCGTAAATCCCGGTGGCATTACAAAATGTGCCTTGTGTAAGCCCCTTCAGTCCTGCCCGGCACTCAGCCCAGCCCCACGGCCTCCCCAAAATCCCTGGTGTGGTAAGAGCCTGACTCACCTCCAGTTCTAGGCTTGGGAAAAGAGCTGTGCATGGCCCCATCCTCACCCAGCTCCTGCAACCATGGGCCCAAAGAGTTAAGGCTGCAAGGGCTCCCCCACCCCATGCATGCTGGGTCATACCCAAAACACTTGTTTTGCCACCCCTCTGCACCCATACATGTGCTCAGCACCATTCCTGCCACATCCTGGGCTCCCCTTCCTTATGATTTCACCCCAGGGATGGACAGGGTTCCAGTTCCCAAAGCTCCAAGCAGGAAACCATCACCTGGGACGCTGTAAAAACAATGATCTGCTCATGCTTTCTCATTCTAAAAGCTGAAAAGGGACCCATACGGATGCTGGTTTGGGAGGAGTTGGAGAGCCCTGGGATGGACCAGCCCTGGGAGCATCCTTTGCCATGGATCTGTCCCTGCAGCCGGACCTTGCCATGCTTTTTGATGCAGAAGCTATGGAACAGCCCTGACCTGCTCTGCCCGGGGGAGCAGGCAGGGATGGCAGCCAGCCCCCGCCTGCCCCTGCTCCGTGCTAATGAGCGAGTTACACAACAAGGAGCTTTTATACTTGGTTAATCGGGTCCGGCATCCCGGCTCGCCCCTCCACGCACACTCGGGCTGGCCAGCGCAGCCCCAACTCCCTCCTTCCCTCCCATCAGCTGCCTTTTGTAATGCTGGAATGGGGTTTCTCGCCGGGGCTGTGCTGCCTTAATTACAAAGCTGCAGTGAGTTGATGCCTTGTGACGGTCTAATCCCAAACCGCTGACTCTACAAAGCTTTTGCCCCTCTATCTGCCTGCTCCACTCCGGCCTTGCCTTCCACGCGTCCGTCTCGGTCCCCGTGCACTGACCCTCAGTTCAGCTTTCCTATCCCTGGTGAGTATCCGGGGCTTTTCCCAGCTGAAATAGCTGCATTGGAGACTCATCCAGCCCTTAACATGGCACTGCTGGGGTTGGGATTGGTTTTAGTGCCTGGCAAAAGGGGATGCTCACCCTGGAGCTGGTGGAAGTGACTGAGCTGGAGCCAAGCATCCCTTGCACTGCCTGGGCTTGAAATTAGTGCAAAAGGCAGGAGCAGGGATGAGTGCTGGAGTTAGGATGAAGGCAGCCCTCCTCCTCCTCCTCGAAGGGCATGAGAACAAGGTCTTTCACCCAGACTGAGATGGAAAGATGCTGCGAGGATCATGGTCCAGCCTTGCAGCCAATGATGGGCTCTGGGCTGGAGCAGTGGGGCTTGAGGGCTTGGGGAACACTTTGGGGATAGCAGGCTGGTAGAAATAAAAGGCAATAAAAGCACTTTGCTGGCTGCCTGGCCAAAGCTGGGCACCCACTTCTGCACACATGAAGGTGGTCTGAGACAAACAGCGCTGTGTGAGCTCATGGGGCCAGGAGGTCCTTATGAGATGTCCCCAGAGCCAGAAAAAGGATGGTGTCAGATGATCAATACCCACATCTTTAAGCTGCTTTTGCAAACATCCCTGGTGTTTCTCAAGGCTGCTGCCAGGCAGATGCAGGCAGTACATGATGGAACTGAGGAGGGATGGGGGTGTGTTCTGGGTATCTGCCTCCACCCTTTCCTGAGCAAGAGGAGCAGGGATGGGGCATAGGGGGGGATCCAGAAACCATTAGGACCCCGTCACTGCTGATTGCTCCTTCCCTCTCCCAGTGTCCTGCAGCTGACAGAGGACAGAGGACGACATGTCTGCGGTTGTGAGTACTGCCCCTGTGCTGCCCTATCCCCTAGGCTCTGAGCATCCCCTCCCTGCAGTGCTGGGATGGGTTGCACCCCATGCACCTCTTACCCCCTGGCTGCTCTCAGCACACAGCCCATCCCCATCCCACTGCACCCCCTATGGAGTCTCTGCCCTTCCCCATAGCTCCCTACCCCAGGAGACCGGCAGCGGGGCAGGGAGCATGGGGGCTGGCTGGGGAGACCCCACATGTTCTCCTCACCCCCAGACGGGCACCTTCCGCATTGTCTCGGAGGAGGAGCAGGCCCTGCGCTCCAAGCTGGAGCGCCTCACCACCAAGGACCACGGTCCCGTTTTTGGGAGGTGTGAGAAGATCCCCCCGCACACCATGCAGAAGGTGAGGGTGGATATGGGGAATGGGGGGCAGGCACAGACTGGGGCTCCTGCTCCTTCCGGGGGGGGCAGAGAAGACCCTCAGCAGGCTCTTGCATTGAGTGCAATGCACTTACACCCTGCGCTCCCTGTGCTAGGGTGCTGCAAGAGCATCGCTGCATCCCCCAGCTTTTGGTACCTAATTGGGGTGTTTTGGGGTGTGCTTCCAGGCCAAGGATGAGCTGAATGAGACGGTGGAGCAGAGGGAGGTGGCAGTGAAGGCGCTGCGGGAGCTGGTGCGGGAGCGGGCGGGCGGTGATGAGGTGTGCCAGGCGGTGGCAGAGAAGGTGCAGGACAAGGACGACTCCTTCCTCCTCCGGTTCATTCGCGCTCGCAAGTTTGATGTCCACAGGGCCTACGACCTGCTGAAAGGTTGGGAGAGGTGCTGGGCTGGGAGGCTGGGATGCAGGGAAAGAGTTGGAATGGGGAAGGAAATAAATGAGGGTGGTACCAGGCATCCCACAAAGCCAGAACAGTCCCATTCCATGTCGATTTATGGGACAAAAGAGGGGGGAAAAAAGCATTTGGTGGTGTTCTATTTGTGCAGCAAACCCAGCTGCTTTGAGCTGCATCCCTTGGAGATGCCCATATCCTTCCTGTACCCATGTAAGCAGCTGGTCCTGCACCCATCCTGATGCTTCTATGCATGGTGCCTGATGGGTTCAGCACCCCTGCAATCCCTCGAGGGCTGAGGGCAGGTTGAGGCGCTTTGGCACCCCTTCCCTACACTGGGAATGACCCATAGGGATGGAAGGGCAGCCCCTGCTTGGCTCCGGCTCCACTCTTTGTGTCAGCTTGGGGGGGGATAATGAGTTGTAATTATCAGCACTGGCTCCCATTGGAGCTGTTTTGTTTGCCTGCCTTTTCCCAGGAGGAGATTCCTTACTTTGTGCCTGCAGGGAGCCAAGGGAAGGGGGCTGGGTGGTACCACCCTAACAGGGAGCAAGGGGAAAAGGGAAATGAAGGGAAAAACGTGCTTGTTGAGGTGTTAGAGAGGAGGCTGATGCGGGATAACATGGGGAGAGTAACACTGAGCACAATGGGGCTGGTGCGCTGCTAATCTGTATGGACCCCAGGCACAGGGCTCAGCACGGATGTCTCCCCATCACCAGTGCTCCTGTGGCTCCCCAGCCACGTTGTCCTCCTGATTCCTGCCTCTCTGCAGGCTACGTCAGCTTCCGCCAGCAGTACCCGGAGCTCTTCGACAACCTGAGCCCCGAGGCCGTGCGCAGCACCATCGAGGCCGGCTACCCCGGCATCCTGGCCAGCAGGGACAAGCATGGCCGGGTCGTGATGCTCTTCAACATCGAGAACTGGGACTACGAGGAGATCACCTTCGACGAGGTCAGCTCAGCAGAGCGGGCGCGATCCTGCCCCTTGGCACGTATGAGCACGACATCCCTATGGACACGTGTCCACACACAGTCTCCAGCCACCCAGGTTGAAGCAAACCTGTAACCCTTTGAATTTATGCTTTGAGGGAGCATGACAGAATGGTCCATCCCAAAGGGTTCCTTCTATGTCCCATCCCAAAGGGTTTCCTTCCTTCCCCCTGACACGGTGCAAGATGCAGATAAATTCAGGCGGTGCATTCCCCAGCCCCAGTAACACGGGGTGAAGAAAGGCACCACACCATTAAATCAAGGTTCTTTAGAAAGGAGGGGCCAGCAGGGAAAAGGAGGAAACTGAGGCACAAGGCACAGAAAGGGCCTCTTGGCATAGAGGTATCTATGTAACTTACAGCTTCCCCTAGCTGTGTTTTCTGCTCAGCTCTGAATTTGATCACAAGGTGTCACTGACACCAGATCTGACTTCAAAGGGGAATGTGGTGGTTGTTGAGCATCCCCTGCAATGCCCTCCCTGCTCTGAAGCCTTGGGCTGGCTGTACAAGCAGGCTGGAGTCAGGCAGACCCAGGCTAATGCTCCATGGAGCACATCCTGGGAAACTGGAGTCTGCAGGAAGTGAGACCTAACACAGACCCTGCTGCCTCCTCTCCATCAGATCCTTCGTGCCTACTGCATTATCTTGGAGAAGCTGCTGGAAAACGAAGAGACCCAGATCAATGGGTTCTGCATCATTGAGAACTTCAAGGGCTTCACCATGCAGCAGGCATCAGGGATCAAACCCTCCGAGCTCAAGAAGATGGTGGACATGCTGCAGGTGAGGAGGCAGAGCCTGCGCCCACCAAACAGGGGGCCCTGGGGGGATCAAAGCTCAGGGAAGGGAAGTGGCAGGGCTGGCAGGGTTTGGACCAGAGGCTGAAGACACTTGGCTCTCCCCAGGGAAGGAGCACAGCAGAGATGTGACCATGCTTATGGAGCAGGAGCTATGAGCCCTATGGAAGGCTCTAGCTTCCCTGGGGCTGGGGCTGCTGATCCTCTGGGTCAGAACAAAACGGGGCCATCAAGGAGAGAATGGGAGATGGGGTGAGGAGAGCCATGGCAGTGCCAGGGTGTCCACTGCTGCCTGCCCAGCTGTGTGTGGACAGCACCATCTGTAACCATCTGTGTCTGGCATCCTAGGACTCCTTCCCAGCGCGGTTCAAGGCCGTCCACTTCATCCACCAGCCCTGGTACTTCACCACCACCTACAACGTGGTCAAACCGTTCCTGAAGAGCAAACTGCTGGAGAGGGTGAGTGCAGGAAAGGGACCAGAGGCATGTCCCTGGGTGAAGCAGGAGATGAGAAGCGCTGCCCTGGTCTCTCCCATCTCCCTCCAGGTCTTTGTGCATGGAGAGGAGCTGGAGTCTTTCTACCAGGAGATCGATGCTGACATCCTGCCAGCAGACTTTGGTGGCACCCTGCCCAAGTACGACGGCAAAGCTACTGCAGAGAAGCTCTTTGGGCCGCGCATCGAGGCTGAAGACACAGCTCTCTAACCCAGCACAGTAGGATCAGTGGTGGCTCCCTAACCCCAGCCACCCCCTTGCCGTAGCATTGGTTGGATGACTGCTCGTGATGAGGTTGTTCCTTGCCTGTCCCTCCTCTTGCCTCCCCACACCAGGCAGCGGGCTGCCCGGCAGCTCTGTCCCTGCCAGGCAGAGCATCCTTCTCTCAGGAGCCAGCACAGGAAGGAGGATACCAGCCCTGGAGCTGCGGTGAGGGGACAGGGGAGTGTCTGCTCTGGGAAGGGAGGGCTGCAGCGAGGCAGAAATAAAGTGGTGTTGAACAGCAGAGTTCTGGGGTTGCTTATGGCATGTGGCAAGGAACAGGGCTCCTTTTGGGTGTAGGCACACTGGCTGTGCTCCTCATTCTGAGGAAGCCAGCAGTGTCAGTGCTTGCTAGCAGACCTCTGCCCCCCCATCACTGACTGTCCTTTGGCACAGAGGCCAAGGAACCAGCGGTCTCCATCCTCCCTGCATCCTAATGTGAGCATGACCCCTGCCTGCACAAGGACCCCCACTTCTCAGTCATCTGCTCTAACCAGGAAAGAGAAAACAGCCCAAAAGATGCAGGAACCCAACCAGTGCCCCAGGCTCTGTGTAATTCCTGCTCAGGCAGGCAGGGAGGGAGGGAGGAGGAACAGAGGCTGCAGCAGCTGCTAAGACTAGGAGATGGATTTGTCCATAGGAGAGTGAGGGACAAGCAGAACATACCCTCCTGCATCCTTCAGAAGCTCTTTCTCCTAGTACTCTGCTGTGGGAGAGAGCCCCACCAAAAGCCACCACAGAGGGTCTTTGCCTGGAAAATGAGTTGTGCTGGTGGTAAAGCCAGTGCTCATGTGGAGGCAGCAGCACTGGTCTGGGGAGGAGGGAGGCAGAAGTTGCTGTGCCCCAGGCAAGGCAGTCTGTGCTGGTTCATGAGCCAGGCATCTCCTGTTCCAGACCATCATCTCCTCCCTTGGCCAGCAGCAGGGCTTGGAGATGAGCAAGTTGCTGGTCTTTGCCCAGGTTATCTTCTCTGTCACCCTCGTTCTGTCCCCTTTCCTCCCTCTCAGCTACACATGGGCACCTTTCACCAGCAGAAACCCAGACCCAAAGGCAGCTGGGGTGTTGGGTGCTGACAAGAGCTGCATTCATCAGGGCACTGGCTCTGGCTCAAACCAAACAGGACATGGGCTCCGAAGCTGCGGGGAGGATAGGGCATGTCTGGGCAGAGGCAATGGGGTTAAATGTGTGCGAAAGGCACCTCTCTGCTGCATTTGGCTTTGCACTGTGCAGGGCCGGGAAGCAGCTGGAGCCATCCCAAGGAAAGCACGTGTGACAGCCCCTACAACCGTCAGGCCAGAGCAAACACAACAGCACAGCTTGCTTGGGAGACAGAGCAACTGCAGCTCACTTGTAAAAACAGACACAAAGCCCCATGTGCGCAGACAGAACAGCACACTGCTGCCTCTGGGATTGGGACAGGAACAGCTCTTGGGAGGTCGCTGTGGCTGCTTAACACTGCTGGGACACGTTGTGAGCCAGGAGCTTGCTTTGATGGGGACACAGAAGAGCACAGCAGAGCAGTGAGCATCATCCACGCATGCCTCAGCTTCCCCCCCCACAGTGACTCTGACAAAGTTCTGAAGCAGATCTAACAGCTAAATTACAATGGCCAATAAACTAGAGATGGAGCACAAAGCACTGCCTCCCACAGAGCAGTTCTCATTACAGGGGAGGAGCAGCAATGGTCCTGGTCCAGCCCAGCCACCCCAACAGCAGTCCCAGTTACCCTCCACATCTGTCTTGGTCTGTAGGTAAAAACCTGGTGAGCTCTTAATGTCAGTCAAGTGATGCTTTTGGCAGGGCTTCTCTCTGCCCTGGGCTCAGAGATGGCATTGTTGCTGTTGTGTGTTTCTTCTGCCAGCAGCTGAACGATTAGGAAATCTACCCTCTCTCAAATAGGGACAAATGACACATGGTGATTTCTGCAGAAACATGAGCCCAGAGTTTCACCACATCCTCAAGGGAAGCGGTCATCACAGAGGAGAGGCCTTCTGTGCTGCAGGAACGGCTGGGCTAAAGGACTCCTCTTGTTCCTCCTTTAGCTAAATCAGAGCTCATAACTGAGGGAACATATTCATTTTAATCACCATGTACTCCCCCATCAAATGATTCTCTCCCCACTGCAAAGGGAGCAAGAAAGGCATGGCCTAAAAGTGACAGACTTCATCAACCAGTAGCACTGCACACAGTCACTACCTGTAGCACTGGCTTCAATAAGTCCTTTATTTTTAAATAAAGAAAACCCACTGAATCAAAAGATAACAAAAATTACATTTTGCTTTGCAATGATCTCCATTTTACACCACACGGAAGAACAAAAATTAAAGAGAAAAATCAGACATTGTTTTATATATATTTATATATATCATTTGAAAGGTAAACATCAGCAGATATAGAAAAATTGCATTGCTAGTTGCAAATCATCTCCTCTGCAGCCATCGGCTCCAGAGAATCAGACTCAGAACATGGCAGCAGAGAGGGTGTCTCAGGATACGAAGCTGTTTCAGGGCAGCATTTAGGGACAGTCACAGAGTAGAGTTTTGCCAATTGGAAAGTATTTTGATAGCAAACTGCTCACCAAGAACATGAGAAGCCACTCGGCTGCTCTAACACAGCTGCATGGGCACAACAAGGGCACAGGTCTGTTGTTCCTCAGCTCTCTCCACACCTCTTCGGGTTGGGGGTTTTTCGAGGAACAGGTTTTGCTTTCTCAAGAAGAATGCCCAGTGATCTGTCACCAGGAATTATGGTCAAGCTGACAAGGTACACAATGAGAAAACATGCTCTTTTGGGAAGCTGCTGACTTGGGCTAAGCAGTAGGGTTTGGTTCTATCAAATACAAGTGGGATTTGTTTGGCCTTTTAAAGACTTCCCAGTTGGCAGGAGCCATGGGAAGGGTCAACATCCCAGAAGAACTATAGCAGAGACCCTAGGAGAAAGTTCTGTATCTAATCAAAGCTCTTGCATGACCAGAGATAGACAATGAGAGCTTATCATTCAAACAGAAGCAAAAGGGCTATGCGTAGAGCCACCTTATGGGATATAGTGCTTCTTACTGGCATAAAAACTACCTGGGTTAGGCAATGCTACTGGGTGAGGAAAAAAGAAAAGCCTTTATCCTCAAGTGATGCAGGGTGAGAGCTTCTGAAAAGAGTTAAGAGAGACTTGAAAAGGGCTGTTCAATCAGCAGAGCCAACCTGACAAATGCTGCCCTGGACTGCAGTGTTTGTGTCCACTGATTAACCAGCAAACCCAAGAGTAGACATGTTCAGAACACGACAGTTCAGGATAATCCTAGAAACTCTTCCACCACAGCATGGAGAGCTGGCATCTGCTTTGCTTCATTGATGGCACTTACACTTAAGCTCCCCCAACAGCTGAGGAAATCCAGGCCAGTGTAACCCACATTCCCAGTGACAAAGGGGTACAGTCACAAGGCATCCCTCCCTTGGGCTGCTGTTGCTCTGAGGCATTCGAAACCTCCAGAAGGTCCTCACACTAAGAGGAGTTGTTTGCTCTTCACCTACATATTGCTTTGAGTCACTGTGGCTCTGGGACCTACCCATCAGGCAGACCCACCTAAGGAATACAGACAGAGGGAGCATGACTCAAGCCAGAAACAAGATGATGCTCTTCACAACAAATGACTTACACATGTAAAACAAGGCATGGGCCTTTTCTGGTCTCCTGGAAAAAGGCTGAGAGGCATTTCAATAAGCTCCAGGCAGGCATAATATTTCTAGCAAAACCTGGAAGGAATCCAGGTGACTAAACTGTTTGGCAATTAAATCCTCAAGTTGCTACTCTCTGCTCTTTTGAAGCACTCACTTAGGCAACCTACCTTCAGCTACACTGCTGGAGAGTTAATAGACACAAGAACTTTGGGATTGTAAAGCAGCAAATCACATGTTAAGCAAAGCAAACCCTCCTTCTATGACTCACTCCCTACTGCTCGAGGAGCAGAGAGCTGAAAGTGATCCACTACCTATAGACATTGTTATTTTAAGCCTTCAAATAGACTGTAGCTAGTTGTAGGCTGCCCACAAAGGTCCTTTAAGTCAAGACTCACTTGTACAGTGCACATTGCCAGAGGTATCTCACAAGTCAGTGTCTGAAAATTCATTTACTCCTAAAAAGCAAAGCCCCCAAAGCTCTGAGAGAGCTGTTACTGAAGTCTCTAGATATGCTGATGTCAAGGGAAGGAGGAAGGAAAGGGCAAGGCACCACATGTCAAAGGTCTGGGGACTTGTGACAGACCCAGGACAGATGACACACAGGTATATTGGCTAAATTCAGTACTGTAGCTAATAGTTCCCAACATCTTTGCTTAATGCCCTTTGTAACCTGTATCTTCATAAACAGGAACTGCAGGAAAACACTCAGGAAGAATGCAGGGAAGTTCACATTTGTCTTTACAGTGCAACAACAACACTGCCAGACCCACCTGAAAACACTCTTGATTTAGAAGCTAACCAAGGGACCATTAAAAATGCTGGCGAATCTGATGTAGTGGAAGCTGCAAGTAAAGTACCTTGTGTTCTGTAAGAGGGACTTGGCCAAAAAGCAGAGACAAAACACTTGCTTTACCTTAACATTAACCTTCTCAGCCAGTTCCCACCCTCCTGACTTCCATGCTCTGGGCCAGTCAGCTGAACTGTTCTGCCAGTCTGGGGTCCTGGGGAGTAAGGTAGAGCTTCAGCCACTTGGGGAGCTGAGCAGAGCACCCCTCCTTTTGACAAGGCTCTCAAGTTGAGGATAGCAGATATTCTGCTCTCAAAGGAGCTCAGATGCACATTGACCTTTCATAGGTATCCACATGTTGGTTTATGTGATGAGCTCTTCAGCAGTATCAGTACCAAGGACTCTTCCTCTAGAACTGTCTCGAGTTGATACTTAGCACAGTAAAGATGGATTGGGGAAGGACACATGAAGCAGGGGGAGGGCAGGTTTGTTTCCTCAAGGCAGACAGCCACAACCTGCATTAAGCTACAGCTGTAATATATGATGAGAGTTGAAACACTTCTAAAGTTGTAACCCACTGGAGATAACAATCACATCCCTCTACACACCTAAATTTATGCTGTATCTATTTGATGTGTACAAGTGTTGTTTACACTCCACTTCTGTGGAAGCAAGATTTGAGTCCTATCCAATGAATATTACATGAACAGCTACTTAAGCAAAAACCTGAAGCACCTTATGACAGATTTTAGCGGTACACAGATGCAGTATGAATAAGAGGATAACAACATAGAGACCATCAGCTAAGAATATCCTTGCTACCTGATG